GCTTTTCTTTTGGTCAGTTTATAAGGTGAGTACATGTTTCCAATGTGATGTTGATGGTTTATTTGAATATCTACTACTCTAGCATAATATATAGTGCCCCATTACGTATGTATCGTTATAATTATAACATTATTTGCAGAAATTAATAATTATTGTATTAACAATTTTTTTTTTTTGGGTAGTTTTACAACTCCAATCTCTTTTGCAGCAGCAATCTTTGGGCCGAAATGTTGTTAATTTTACATATGTTATTGTTAGGTTAATTGTTATTTAAACTCACTTATATATATAGGGATGGATCTAGTACCTTTCTTATAACGGAGATATGAGCCTCAGTTCTAATCGTTCATTTATGTACATTAACACAACGACTTGTATTAATCAATTAAAATATACATTAGTTATATAATAAAAAAAATTATTATTATATTAAATTATTCATATAAGAAATAAATTAATTAACCGCGTTGACCGTTGGCCGGCCGCGATCAAACCGGTCAATATATTTTTATTATATAATTAATTTGATACACTAATATTTAATTTTTATTACATAATTAATATAACACATAATTCTTTTTTTTTTCAAAACAATAGAGATATTATATAACTAAAAAACCGCACAAAGTGAGAAGAGAAAGCAGCCAACAGCTGAAAAGTAGAACCAACGGCTGAGAAGACTGGGAGGACAAATCCGAAGATTGCCTAGAGCCTATCCTAGCAATGCTAGAATAACAAACTCGCAACAACACAAACAAACAAACTAAAAAACTACGAAAATGATTCCAACAGGATATTGTCCGAGCCTACGATCCCAACAGGATAATACGCTCACACTCAGACTTAACAGAGGCTAAGTGCCTAAATCAAAAACACAAACCTACCACACAAACAGAAAAAATAACTAGCCCTTCCACATCACCTATTCCAAGTCGAACCTGCAGCCACCAAATCAACCCAAGGTGAATCCCTCATCCCAAGAAAGTTAACCCCTCCACTGCCGAAACCGCCTAGTTGAGCCAAATCCCAAGCATCGAAACATACCCAAAAGTCGATTCTCCCCAAAATTGGAAAACTCCAAGATTGCGCCCAACTGTCGCAGTATTTAATATTGTTTACCAATGCACAATTAATTATACAAAGTTTATTACAATCAACTAGATGATGAAGAGTGAAGACACAAATCAAAAGAAAGCATAAATGCATGATTTGATAAAATAAAAACCCTAAAGCAAACAACTTCACTGTTTAGCGAAAAAAAAAAGGCAAAAAAGAAAGGACTGGTGAAAGAAATGAGCAGCTCAGTGACAACAGATATAGAAAGCTCGACCCCAATCTCCGACGGTGGTGGCGGCACCACCGACAACGCAACCAAGAAGCCCTCCAATGACGAATCCGTCGATTCCACCCCCTTTGGTGTAGGTGAAAGAGTTCTTGCTTTTCATGGTAACTGCCTTTACGACGCCAAGGTATGCATATTTAGCTTTCTCGTTTCTCCTCTGTTGCTTACCGTAAATTCTCACTATTTCAGCAAATGCCTGAATTTGTAATCTNAATTAAGCAATTGAGTGTTCTGTTATGAATTGAGCCTGGAAGTTTCCTTTCTTTGTTCACTGTTTGATAGGGACTGTCCCTTCATACTCTCTGATGCTTTTCCCAGTTGCTTCAATTTGTACTTTGTAGGTAATTTTCGATAAATGCAATTAGTAATTAGCCATAGGTTTTGTAACTATTAAACTTTCGATTAATCAGAAAAAGGGGGTTTATTTTGCATTCTGCCAAAGGGACGGTGATATATTCTAGTGTGCTATTTTTTCATGTTTAATTAAGCCACTCTGTTAGGGTCCAACCCTTTCAGAATACTTTTGTTATTGAATTTACCTCTTTTAGTTTAAGCTATTAATTTTGTAGTTCATTCTTTCATCTGATGCACTCTTTTGTGTTGCGTGTGCAAAGGTGCAAAAGGTTGAACACTGTGTGGAAGAATTGAAGTATTATATTCACTATGTAGTAAGTATATTGTTCGTAAATTTCAAATGCTACCAAGTCCGGCTGTTGTTTCAGCATCCGTATGTGTTGCATATTATTTAACTTGTTGATGATTTATCATTAACTCAAAATATGAGTTTTGATGAGGTTCTTTTCTCTGTTTTTTCAGGGGTGGAAGAAATCGTGAGTGCACTTCATCTTGCCTTGTGCATTTTGATAACATAAATCTTCTGAATTAGGACGCTATCTAGTGAAGTACAAATTAGTTTAACTTTATGATGTTACACAACTTGGTATTTTAAATTTTTAGCAAGCAATCCTTTCGTGAGTTGTTCTTCAACGTTTTAGTTCATTGGCATTGCGTGTATATAGAGCAAATGTATCAATTTGTCAAACATTGAAATCATCCAGCATTTTTTTCTTTCTCTTTTGGTTGGAGCAGTTGAATGTTAACGACCATTTATTTTTATGTTTTTTCTTTTCTTTTCTTTTCCTTCTTATCTTTTTCATTTTTGTTTTTTGAATCTATTGATGATTATATGTGATGTTATTTTAATCTATTGATGATTATATTCGATGTTATTTTTGTGTCACCAAAAGTTGGGATGAATGGGTAAGTGTGGATCGCCTTGTGAAATACACTGAGGAGAATCTTCGGAAGCAAGATCAGCTTAATAATGAGCATGCAACTGAGAGAAGTGCAAAGCCTGGACGTCAATCACAAGATAAAACTAAAAGCTCTGTGGGTCAGATTTCACAACCTCCCGGTTTAATAATTTTACGTTCTTGGTGATCCACAATTTTCTTCTAAAGAAATCAAGGGGCTATATTTTTTTCATATGCTAATAATTATCGATTTTACTTTTCATATTTCATTGCAGGCTTGAGTGGCAAGAAACGGGAATGTGATATCGATGTGAAGGTACATCTCTCTGTTGTTCTTTTAAAATGTGACTGCAACTCTTTTTAGGTGTTCTCCGGTTGTTTGTAATATTAGCTAATTAAGTCAAACAGCAAGCATAGTTTTTGTAGTGGAACAGTTTCTTCTAACCATACTGTTAAGATATCCGAAGTTACACATTGGGTATGTGCAGATGCATTGTATTTTGTTGCAAACTCTAATTCTAGTTGGAATCAATTCCTTACATGGCTGAACAACTTTTTTATTTACCCATGCTGAAAATTGATTATTTTTTCTTTTAGGAGGATAGTGTTGCACCATGGGAAAAGCTTATGAGCATCCAAATTCCGTCTGCCTTGAAGAAACATCTGGTTAATGATCAAGAATGTATAACTCATCTGGGCCAGGTTAACGTTTACTGCAATTAAAACTTTTGTTATTCATTAGTTATTCTTGTTGTCATTTTCTGTCAGGAAACTTTTTACACTTACCATTTTGGGCAAATTCAGAAAATTTGCGACCAATAATTTAATTTGTTTCTGTCAGTTAGTCAAGCTTCCACGTTCCCCAAGCGTTTGTGAGATATTGAACAAGTATTCTGATTACCGGGTGAAGAAAGATGGCGTGTAAGTCTAATTTATGTAGTTATATATCTTTCATGTCATGTCCAATGGAATTTGGCTGCTTTAAGCTTTAGTCTTATGCACTGAGGTGGTTTTATCTTCTTATCAGAACACAAACCCATTTGCCTACCATCTAAACAGTATGGGAATAATCAATAATTATGTGCTAATGTTTGTATTTTTTAATTGCAAAAACTGAAAAGGGAGTACATTACATTGGAACAAAATATTAGAAAAAAACTCACAATGTCATAATGTCATTGATGTGTAATGAATAAGATGTTTTAACTTGTGAGCACGTTCTTAATCAACTCGACATTTTTCTCTTCTT